AGAAAATGTAGAACATATTAATCCCGAAACCGTTCAATGTCATTGCAGAAACAAGCAAGGTGGCACACACAGGGAGGGTTTGATGAGCCAAGCAGATATAAGGCACCGCCTGGTTAGGTAACACCAGAAATAGCACCTGGATACTTCAACAATACAGGCAGATTTCAAGCTACACCAGAATCATCAGAAGCACAGTCTAGTTCTTCTCTATAGCAAACATCGATTGCTGGGTATTCAAGCTTTGCCACTGCTGGGGTCTAACATCGTCTGCAATGTCCCCAGAAACAAATATTTTCCTTCCCTAGCACATGTAGAAAGGCAAGGACACCCAGGCTTCCACCAGTTGCTCCATCAACAGCAATCATCCGTGTTGCAAAAGTGGTTGTGACGGGAAGACCAGGCGAAAGAGACAAGAATGTTCACCACTCTAGCAGATTGCAGAGTACAAGATATGAGCCATATAGACAGGAGCAGCCTCACAACAAATCTGAGGCAAGGCGGCCGCACAATGAGAGACGGAGAGCTTCATCAACATTGCTCCCTCCAAGAGATGCATTGTTGCATGTGCCTAGGGTGACACCTCCCGTACCCATACACGAGGGTGAACAGCAAACACCGGATGCAGCACAAAGCTATACACATTTAAGTATCCATTAAAAAAACATACAAGCACAGTCCACCCTCTAGTACTGTGATAACACCATCTAACATTTTCATCACTGTGTTTCTGTTTGCTCACTGTTGCATGCAGCCACCTAACATTGAAGCTTACGTTCTGCCAAGGCTAGAAATGCGCTTTGAAACTTCCAAAGAAGCAAAGAATTTCTACAATGTCTATGCAAAGCATGCGGGTTTTGCTATCAGGGAGGGCCCCAAGGTTGAGAACAGAGTCTACCTTTATTGCACGTGCCATGGAGTCTATGAATCAAAGGTTTCGGAAGCAAATAGACAGCGGAACAAGACCACAGCCAGGACTAACTGCGGGGCTAAAATTAGGATGAAGAAGGAAAATGATGGAACACATGTCGTAAAAGACGTAATCTGGAAACACAACCACATGCTATAGCTCACCACAGAAATGCTTGTCTTTTTGCACTCCCACAAAAACTTTGACAAGACAATCTTGGAGTACGTCGAGTACCTGCAGTTCAAAGGGATTGAACACGCGCAGATCATGAGCATACTAGGCGGCGATGACGCAGGTAGCTACTTACTCAAAATGAATGCCAAAGACCTAATTAACATGTATGTACAAACTTGTTCTCCTCCGAAAAAAACCCTCCGTCCTTTTTCAACTGTCAGTACAAATATATTATGCAATGCATTACCTGATCCCAGTTCAACATGCATTTTTGCAATGACTATTCACTTTTAATATGCAGCAAAGCAAAGAATTCAAGGATGAATGACATGGACGATTTCCTGAAGACTGTCAACTTCTTTATGGAGATGAAAGCAATAAACAGGGAATTCTTCTGCAACATACAACTTGATGAGTCCGACAGAGTGAAGAACATATTCCGGGCGAACGCGAGCTGCCGAGGGGCATACCAAGACTTTGGTGACTGGGTGACGTTTGACACCACGTATAAGACCAACAAATACCATATGCCACTTGGAGTGTTTGTGGGTACTAACAACCACTTTCAGACTACAATCTTTGCTTTTGCCCTGATAAGAGATGAGGATGCAGATTCATTCAGATGGCTTTTCAAAACAATTTTGAAATGCATGAGAGGGAAGGCTCCTACATGAATCCTCACAGGTACAACCGCAAAAAAACCTAACCCTAAATCCACACCTAAAAAAAGGAAAATAACACAGTAAAAATGTTGTGTCAGTTCTATTTGTATATATGCACAACGATCAGCTGACCACTCTGAGTCTATTTTCTCATTACCAGACCAATGCCCGACAATGGTTTTGACGATCTCAGATGTTTTCAAGAACACAGTACATAAGCTATGCCGCTGGCACATTATGAAGAAGTACATGGAACAGCTCACGTGCCTGTACGACCTCCACAAAACCTTTAAGGATGAATTCAGAGCAATCCTCAACTGGCCCCACATGCCAACTGAGTTTGAGACTGCCTGGAAAGATCTCATGGATAGGTACAAGCTCCATGATGATGCCACAATGGTGGCAATGTGGAACGAGCGCGAGAAATGGATATTAGCTTACTTCAAAGAAATTTTTTGTGCTAGAATGACATCGACACAACGGAGTGAGAGCATGAACTATGTGTTAAAGAAGAACTAAGTATGCGAGAGACAAAACCTGCACCGGTTTGTTAGCCAGGTAAACACATTCGTCAAAAGCAGGAGGCATGCAGAAAACAAGGAGACAATGGGTAACTCGGTAGCTCTATCATGTGTCGTAAGAAAAATAATGTGCTTACTAAAGTAATTCTTTCTTACTTAGACAAGTTTTTGTTGCAAGAAAACTAATAATTTGTTCAACACTCTTGCTTGTGCAGAATAAAACAAATACGCTGACCCTCTATGGGTTCGACACTCAGATGGCAAAAGTTTACTCACGAGCTGTGTACAGCGAGATCGGAAAAAGGCTAAAGCTGAGCACCCTCTTCACGGTGACGGACATGGAAGAGCCCACAAAGTACCTTGTACACTACAACAAACCGCAAACATCGTCTGCGTGGTCTCAGCACGCATTCCAGGTGGTTGCAGACCCCGTGGGAGAAATATACGACTGCGAGTGCAAGCTTTGGGACCACATAGGTGAGTACTAAAAAAATGTTACTCACTGTACTACTTATTTTTGCAAAAGTTTTTGTTCGAATGAAATGACATAAAACATGCACCTCTTCCAAAAAACAGGTATTTTCTGCGTGCATGTCCTGTGCATGATGCAAACAATTAAGGCTAAGACCGTTCTAGAGAAATACATCCTCGGGAGATACACCAAACGCCCAAACATCCAGCCAACCTTCAATAGAAATGACTTGAGGACAGCAGCGTCAAACAAGGCCTCCCAATACTGCATTGAAAGCGCTCTACTGCTGTAAGTTGTGAGAGTGCACAGGAAAAGCTTGAGAAGACAAGACCAAATGGCGAGGACACGGGTAGTCATGGAAAGACTTGAAGAAGAACTTGACGCCATGCATTCTTCTGAAAACGGAGGTGTCGTGGACAACAAAGTAGAAAAACTTGAGCAGGATATCGCTACAATCTTATTCGAGATGAACCATATGGGAGATGTTGACCCATACGACAACGAGGAGGAGGAGCAACAGCAATCTAACCTTCCCCATGGGCACACTCAAGAGCAGCAACATGCTCATGTGCAAGATCATGAACTTGACGGTGCTGTAGGCGAATGACATGACAACAGGAGATCCTACCAGCAGCAGCAACAACAAAGGGTAATTAAAACACCCATATACTCATGCACAAAGGGGAGGAAGAATAAGACACAGGCAGCAAAAGCAGCAAAAGTAGCATCCAAAAAGCCACCATGCCCCATCAAACATCTGGAATACGGCCCGGACGGGAAACCTCTTAGGGTAAGGGCATGCGGATTCTGCAACTGGGTGACGAATCATAATTACCGCACATGCCCACACCGCACAGATGCCATTGCCAACAAGCAAAAGTTGCAGAAGCAGATTGGAGCTGCCTAGGTCTCTACCAACGGAGACGACACACGTAGCAGCTACACTTGTAGCAAGTGTGGGGGGACTGATGGACATAATGCCCGCACATCCAAAGTGGGCAAGGAGGTCGATGGCATTGAACAAAAACAGGGCAAGGTCCTGAGTTCCAAAAAATCAAATGAAGAGGATGAAGAAGAAGAGTTTGACGAGAATGATGACCAATCAGACGAAGACAATGAAGATGACAATATTGGGGACGAGGAAACTAAAACTAACAATGAACCTGCCAAGGCTCAACCAGGAAAGGGCGCCGGCAAGGTACAACATTCGGGGCCAGTTAGGAGGAGCTCAAGACTAAAGAATCCATAGTGGTTATGCTGCTGCAGTACACAATGAGGAAACATTTCAGAAACACTATCTTTACCAAAACTTATTTAGCTTTGTCGTCGATTTCTCAATCAGTACTATATTTAAGATATAATTTGTGATTTGTGCCCGCTGGACCAGTGACATTATTATGTAAACGATTTGATAATCCTTTTGAATGCAGTCACAAATATATTTGAAAAAACTTATCTGGATTTATGTAACGCCAACATTACTGTCAACCAGTAACTCAGCAAAACTATCCTCAAAAAACATCGTTTCAAAAAACAAGCTATGTCTGGTTCTGCCAGTCCTAGTTCAGAAAGTCCATCAATACAGAATAATAATTACCTCAAGAAAATGCAAATATAATACACCTGTACTGATGAAAAACTAACTTATCTGTAAAAATACTTTTGAAGATTATGTTCATATAAACAATCCTTTCAAAAAAACAAAAAAAGTTTTAAAAAAGGTTAACATGACACACACAGTCCGTCTGGTATTTGGTAAGTTCAACTACACTTCAATCACTAGTCCAAGTAACGCAGTTCAACAAGACGGATCATCACCAACCCTAAGACATGCAAGTGGGATAAACAGCTGATAAGTACAACTTGACAAGACGGATCAGTGCGACAGTAAAATGCCATCATCACTGACCCTGAGACAAGCGCAGTGGGATAAAGCAATAGATAAGTACATCTTGACAAGACTACTCAGTTCGACTAGATTAATACCCTGGCAAAGAAATTGGCTTGGACGGTTGGTTCTTCCAGGCCACCGCCCGCGCCACACACTGGGCGGTTGCCACAAGGGACTGCAAACGGCGACACCACGACCACTACACCCACGTCCTCGACGAACCGCCTCCCACACATCCCTGTACACGCCCTGGAAATAACCCATTGTCTTCCATCTCTGCCTAATTCCAAGAACCACCACCGCCGCTTCCGTCTCCACCATAGACAACCCAGAAACTTCTCTCTTCCAAGCCCACAGTCGCCAGAAGAGGGCAATGGCGGAGGAACCGTCCACCAAGCGTCATCATGGTGAGATGTCCGACAAGAGCTGCGACCTCGATGATGTTCACATCCCCGGCGAGAAGCGCATGTACACCAGAACGCTCGAAGGGGTTGAGCTCCACGGCAAGGAGACGCTAGAGATCGTCTGCACCAGTGAACCAGACAAGGCCGACGAGATGATCACCAAGCTCAGGAGGAAGGCTGGCGGCTCTCATCGTAAGATCGTCGGTCTTGGTGTGCACTACACCAGGGAAGTCGAACCTCCCCAGATGGCAGCATTCCTGCAGTTGTGCATGGAGGAATTCTGCCTGGTGTACCACATCGCAACGGCTACGAAATGGTGACCATCCCACTCATTTTCCCTGTTTGGTTCATCTGTTTAATTAGTACTCGTTTAAATTCAAACTTATTTCCCAACTAGATGTACTAGTGTGGTTTTTGAAAGTCGATGCACTACTGCATTTTCTCAAGTAGATACACCATAAATGTATTTTTGAACATGATGCACTGGATTACTATTTGAAAAATCTTGCAGAAGATTAATTTCTGAAGTTGATGTACTAGTGCAGTATCTGATCTTGATCCGATAGTGTAGTTTTTATACTCAACGTATTAAAAAGATGTTTCTGAACTTGATGTAGTGAAGTAGTATCTGAATTTGGTCTAATGTTATTTTCATAAGCAAAAAAAACTAAGATCTTGCTGAAGCACTGGTATGTGTTTTCCTATTCAACAAAAGTAAATAAACTAGTAATAAAGCAGCACATACAACATTGGCTCAAACTATGTATAATCCAAAAAGAAAAATAACATGACGTACTTGAATTAAATTTCAGAACTTTGTTTACTAATTTCTGAAGTACATTCATCCATCAATTATGCTATATAAGCATCTACTTCATGGATTCATCACTTGTAAAACATAAACAAAAATGAAGAATTCAAACAGCAAAGTAATGCTAATCTTCAAAATGTCTCTCCCCTTGCAGGACCAAGCGCCTCAACGAGATGTTGAAGCATGAGAAGTTGTTCACATTTGTCGGTTTCAGCATTGAACGCGACAAAGAGAAGATGAAGATATCTGGCCTTCCAATGATAAACCCCAACAAGTATGTCGACATTCAGCGCTTCTGGAGAGTTCCATACACTGGAAAAGAGTACGACTCTTTGACTGATGTTGCAGCCAGCATCATCCACCCGTTCTACAAAGGCATGAAGAAGAACATTGACACACAGGAAGACCACAAACTGTGGATGATCAGCCCGCTGCCAGACAAGCTCATCGAGTACGCAGGAAAAGATGCGTATGCCACGTACAAGTCATGGAACATGATCGACAACATCACAAATGGTAGGGAAATGGCAAAAGTGCGGGAGGTTGACCACTACAATGACCGCCCCTTCCGTCCCTTTTAGGGATGAAGATACATCAAAGCCTGCCTTCGCTTTGCTTCTGCTTGTGCTTGCCTTTTATCTTGTTGTTTCAAATTCGTAGTTTGCTCTTGTTGGGTTGAACCAGTATGAATATGCCGTGCTTGTCATGGTTAAACTAGTTTACTTATGTCATGAAGTACAATGTCTTGCTTATCTCATTATATAAGTTTGGTAGCTTCGTATTTTTTAATCCATCATTTCAAATACAAAGTAGCTTCACAATGGAACTTTGTGGCTGCTCTAAAGTACTAGTTATGAAGCAACTAATCACACAACATTGTTCCATGTGTAGTTTCGATTCAGTATTGTATAGAAAACATAATGTTGAAAACAATCAGTACAATTTGAGTTGCTTAACAATGCTTCAAAAGTTGAAACAGAAATTCTTAGTACTTCATGTACCATTCTCATACATATGTAGCTACTAGAAAATTAACAAGTACTACGAACAGAAAAAGTTAAGAAGCATCAGCACACACTTATGTTGGTCACTTGCGGACTTAGAATGACAGTACTAGTACACTTGATCGGACAGTACATACTTACTATAATAAAAAGTACAAAGAAGCATCAGTTCGTAATCCCCCCCAAAAAATGTCAGACTAAGAATGTAATGCTACTATGAATGGACTATCAGTACAACTTAGTCTACACGCAAGTACCATAGTGCTGAAAATGATACCATAAGGCCCTTGAGAATAATCACAAAAACAAACACAAACACAAGGCAAAAAACTTCAAATGAAAAAATAACACTTCCACAGAACTAGAACAAAAAGTATCAGTCCAAGTTACTGGTGGAGTCAAGTACTAGATCCAAACCAAAAAAAAGTACAAATTGACCGCCCAAGGACATACAACTTAGTCTACACGCAAGTACCATAGTGGTGAAAATGATACCAGAAGACCCTTGAGAATAATCACAAAAACAAGGCAAAAAACTTCAAATGAAAAAATAACACTTCCACAGAACTAGAACAAAAAGTATCAGTCCAAGTTACTAGTGGAGTCAAGTACTAGATTCAAATCAAAAAAAGTAAAAATTGACCGCCCAAGGACAGGCAGGCCCTAACGCTGCTAAATACTTGAACTCGAGCCCATGGTGGAACTGTTGGCGAATCCCTAGTAATCAGCACAATGCAGGGCCAGCCGACCAGGGCCCATAGGTCATGAGAGAGAGCGAGCACCGTGTATAAGCGCTCAGGTAAGTATTCAGAGGAGTTCGACAAGTAGGACTTGGCCGCCCTTATAAACAGGTCGAGAGCTTCCTCCCTTAGCGAGGTGGGACTAAACCCAGAGCACACGCGCATCCTGCAGTTCCCAAAATGCACGGGCGGGCCATTTGGACTAGAAAACGGCCCAATAGCCTCCATCGTCTACAAACACCCCACCAATAAGGCCAGTTAAACAAAGCAGAGCGCGGTACAAAGAAATATAAACTACAAAAAAATGTTCGAAAACTGAAAATATAAAAGTTCATCTACTAGTTCGTAGGCAATAACTTTAAAATACGAAAAATAAAAATAAAAATAACTTTAGCTCTACACCACGGATGATAAAAAAAGGAAAAAATATGATACAAAAACAACGAAACTCTAAAAAGTAGAGAACTTAATAGCCTATATGTTAAATGTACATAATTTAAAACACCGAATTAAATATTACTTTCAAGTTCAACTACTAAAATGCAAGAAGTTAAAATAGATTTTCTTTGTCATTTCTGCTAAACTTCTTATTTATGTAAAATCTGACAAGTTCAAGTACTAAAATGCAAGAAGTTAAAATAGATTTTCTTTGTCATTTCTGCTAAACTTATTATTTATGTAAAATCCGACAAGTTCAACTACTAAAATGCAAGAAGTTCAAATAGATTTTCTTTGTCATTTCTGCTAAATTTCTTATTTATGTAAAATCTGACAAGTTCAACTACTAAAATGCAAGAAGTTCAAATAGAATTTCTTTGTCAATTCTACTAAATTTCTTATTTATATAAAATTTGTCAGCACCTCAACGAACGATTTCGCCGTAAATAATCTCACCCCCCTCCCCCAAAAAAACACTCAGTCCAAACATACATATGACATCAGTTCTAAAAAATCGGGAACAGTCAGGCCACTCACACCACTGTGACACCAAATTTCAAAACCGTACGCTATATGAAATTACAATTCAGTTCACACAGCACTAATCCATAAGTGCACCAAAAAGAGAATACAAAAACTATAAAAGGGCTAACTTAGGTTCGGACAGATGAAAATAAAATAAGTCCCAGTTTTGAGCAACAACTCCCAGGGCACTGAAAAATGTTTTGAGATCAACTAGTGTATAACACTTCAGTAGAAAAACAAGACATAACCACCACACAGATAAACATCATAAAAGGCATACGTCACTTAAACAGTGCAAAATTCCATCGTCACCACCCCTGAGACATGCAAGTGGGATAAGCAGCTGATAAGTACAGCTTGACAAGACTACTCAGTTCGACAGTAGAGACCCTTGACTTGGACAGTTTGTTCTTCCAGGCCACCACCCGCTCCACCCACTGGGCGGTTGCCACAAGGGAGTGCAAACCGTGCCACCCACGACCACTACACCCACGTCCCCGACGAACCATCTCCCACACATCCCCCGTCGACGCACTGGAAAAATAACCCATTATCTTCCATCTCTGCCTCATTCCCACAACCACCATCGTTGCTTCCATCTCCACTGCAGGCAAACCGCAAACTTCTCTCTCCCAAGCCCACAGTCGCCGGAGGAGGGCAATGGCAGAGGAACCGTCCGCAAAGCGTCATCATCGCGAGATGTCCGACAAGAGCAGCAACATCGACGATGTTGACGTCCCCGGCAAGAAGTGCACGTACACCAGAACGCTCAAAGGGGTTGAGCTCCACAGCAAGGAGACGCTGGAGATCATCTGCACCAGCGAACCACACAAGGCCGACGAGATGATGAGCAGGCTCAAGATGAAGGGCGGCGGTGAAAGGATCGATATGGTTGACTAGAGGTGGGGTGAATAGGCAACTAAAATTTTTTAGACTTTTCTTTAACAATTTAAACCTTGCAACGAAATAGGTTGTCTAGATGTGCAACTACGTGGGCAACCTATATGATGCAAAGACAACTAGCACACTAGCAAGCAATAGATACAACACAAGTAAGCTTGCAAAAGTAAAGGCACAAGATAACCAAGAGTGGAGCCGGTGGAGACGAGGATGTGTTACCGAAGTTCTTTCCTTTTAAGGGGAAGTATGTCTCTGTTAAAGCGGTGTGGAGGCACAATGCTCCCCAAGAAGCCACTAGGGCCACTGTAATCTCCTCATGCCCTCACACAATGCGAGATGTCGTGATTCCACTATTGGTGCCCTTGAAGGCGGTGACCGAACCTTTACAAACAAGATTGGGGCTATCTCCACAACACTTGGAGGCTCCCAACAACACCACGAAGCTTCACCACAATAGGAGTATGGCTTCGAGGTGACCTCAACCGTCTAGGGTGCTCAACACCCAAGAGTAACAAGATCCGCTAGGGATAAGTGGGGGGAATCAAATTTCTCTTGGTGGAAGTGTAGATCTGGGCCTTCTCAACCAATCCTGAGCAAATCAACAAGTTTGATTGGCTAGGGAGAGAGATCGGGCGAAAATGGAGCTTGGAGCAACAATGGAGATTTGGGGGAAAGAGGTGGGTCAACTTTGTGGAAGAAGACACCTTTATATAGAGGGGGAACCAATCCAACCGTTACCCCACTGAACAACCCCGCACAGAGCGGTACTACCGCTTGGGCAGGGCGGTACTACCGTTGAGGGTGGTACTACCGCTCTTACCCAGCGGTACTGCCGCGCTGACGGGAGGTCAGGGACCTGACCCCGGAGCGGTACTACCGTGGGAGTAGGCGCGGTCCTACCGCTTGGAGCGGTACTACCGCCACTACTACCGCACTTAGTACCGCAAAACCCGACATGAAAAACATCAGTCTCGAATCGAGGCGGCAGTAGCCCGGAACCACTGCGGTACTACGGCCGAAGACCATAAGCGGTACTACCGCTTGGGGAGTGGTACTACCGCTCTGGGAGCGGTACTACCGCTTGGGTGCTTCGGCGGTACTACCGCTGTGGACCGCGGTACTACCGCTGGGGCAGGATAAGGCAGACACAGGGGGAAACGGCAGCTCCAAAGAAGCGGAAGGAAAACGTCGGGTGTGATATGGATGTGTACATGTTGATTCCACCCTAGCCTTACCAAAGCAGATCCCCTCTTGATAGTACGGTGACTCCTACGAAACTAGTCCACCAACACCGAAACGAAGGAGCTACACCATCTTGAATAGAACACCGAGGGGAGGTAATCGTCTCGTGCCAATGGATGAATCTCTGAAAGAACTTAACGCACACGATTAGTCCGCACAAGCATTGTCATCAATCACCAAAACATCTTGGGGATAAATATGCCCTTACAATCTCCCCCTTTTTGGTGGATTGATGACAATACGGGATTTGCACAATATGAGAGATATAGGACAAGCGCAAAAACCCCAGAGTCCTAAAATGTAGATGAGCTCCCCCTAGATGTGTGCTATCTAGATAAGTGCTTTGGACTGCACGTCACAAATACTAGGATCAACGCTCCCCCTACATTTTAGAGACCAACCACCTAAGCAGGGTATATGAGAGTAGCATAGATAACTTAACAGGATAAGCATGCAACTCATAGGCTAGATAGTGACATAGATAATGATACTGGAAAGATAAGGTAGCATAAGGTAGCATATGTCTCACACCATATGACTAGAACTTAGGTCTCAATGACACAAACCAAACAAAGCAAATTGCGAGGAAAACACAAACACAGAAGACGGAAGACACAAAGCACAAATCCCTAAACTCTCTCCCCCTTTGGCATCGAGACACCAAAAAGGAGGGAGTGTTGCTACGGCTCCAGGTGATAGCAAACAAGGGACACACACATCAGAGCTCAGCGG